ATATATATATATATATATATATATATATATATATATATATATATATATTAATTTTGGTATTGCTTTTACCATGATGCAGTTGAAAGTGGGTAATGGTGAAGACTTTATCCCACGAAATGGACGTTGGAACTTTAACAACAAAGTATGTTTCTTTGATTCTTTTGAATTGTTATCTTAAATCTTTTACATATAATATATTTGTGACTAGGTCTGATTCTTGATTATTCTCAAATATTTGTTAAGTATTGTTGTGTTTTTACTATATCTTTATATATTTGTTTTCAGGTTGCTGCCAAGATTATGATGAAAATGAAAAAGGTAGTTTCACTCCTATCAAGTGTATTTTAGTATTTTATTAGTATATGAGTTTTACAAAAATGTGGCAAAGGAATACTCCAACAGGGTCATAAACGTCAGTTTCTGGATGTTTTACCACTTGTACAATATGTTATACAAGTGGTTTCTATTTCTTATTTACTTGTGCTTTTTTCTTTCTTTTCAAGTCTATCAAAGTTGAATCTTTTCTTGCCATAAGTGGAACTTGTTCCTTTTCCTAGTTTTTTTGTTTACTGTGGCAAAGGAATACTCCAACAAGTTTTTTTGTTTAAATAGTCTAGCTATGTACGTGACTGTTGTGTCACTTTTCCCAGTTATCAAGTTCAATAAGAAAGGCTCTAACGCTTTGGTATACTCTGTTCCCTGTTCAGATTACCAAAACTGCATATATTCCAGTTTTGCCCTTCCCTGTCATTACCATATTTTGTCCCCTGTGAAGTTTACTTTACTGTCCCTGTTTCTTATTTTGGTGTAAAGTCTTTATTACTGCTGCTAAAGTCCAACAACCTACTGTGTTCCATGATTATACAACAGAGCATATGATAAATTTATGTATTTTTTAATCATTAAGGCTTATTGATGATACTCAGTTAGGTGTGTACTTAATTTAGTGTTGGTATGAATGCAGTAAAGTCATCTGGTGGTCTAAGAGAAAGACTGTCTAATGCAGCTGCATTTAATGCAAGGAGTCAAGCATCACTAAATAAAGGTAACAATGTACAAAATTTCCTTCAGCACTTTTAGTTTTCCATACTTTCAATTGAGGTACACTACACATCTTGAATAACCCCTTTTCATTATAAAAAAACTCCATATTTTTGTTTTTTTATAAAATTTGAATTGTAATTTGTAAATACTTACAGATTGAGTGGAATTTGAGATCAGGCTCTTTAAGAAACATCGATTCTGCTCGAATATCGATTCCCGGGACTGTAAAGTATGATGACTCACAGCAGTGGTAAGTTTTTAGGTTTTTTATTTTTTAAAAACTAATTTCTTTTTTCTTTTGTCATTCCTAATTTTTATACAACATATCTTGATGCTTGTAAATTATTTGTTGGAATTTAGAAACAAAAGTTAACAGATTAGTAAATCAACTCCCTTATAAATATTTTTTACAAATATATTGAATTCCTTTTGTGCAAATTGACTGATCTTGATGTTGTATGTACAGCTATCGACACAGAGCACGATTGGAGGAAACAGAACAATATTGGAGAGGATGGTAAAATTAACTCTTTGATATTTGTAGTCATTGAAGGAATTTTTTTTATTATGTTTAACTTTCTATTTTTGTAAATAAAAAAATTCAGGTATGAAGGCCTCTTGGAAAAATTTTTGTCATCTCCGGTCCCAAAGCTGCTTCTGTTGGCTGGAACAGATAGACTTGACAAGTTCTTTCTTTTTCTTCCCATTCAGTGTTGTTTGGATAAATGATGTTTAAATTTTAATTAAGAACATGACTGCACCAGGGCCCTCACAATATAATATATAATAATTGTTAAATAAAAAGTCAATATTATTTCTTGGTGGAAGGGTAATATGGTAATTTTCTGTACCAGGGCTCTCACGATAGGACAAATTCAAGGAAAGTTTCAAATGGTGGTTGTCCGACATACTGGCCATGCAATACATGTGAGAATTTAGTCTTTTCAAATAAACCTTTTTTTATGAAAAATTTAAACAGACAAACTTGGCCATCACCCTTGTCACCTGATGTCATGGATTTTCTTAAAGAATATAATATGTCTGATATTCTACTTATAACTATTTTGCTTATTAGGACATTATACTCTAAATTTTTTTACCTAATTAAGCAGTGAAGTCACTTTGTATTTGTAATACATTTGCTGAAACTGGGTAAATTTCTGAAAGTAGAATGTTGTAATAAGATGAAAGGAAATTAGGATGATGCATAATAGATGTTTATAGCCCTTCCATGTTAATAACAAACTACCACACTCTAGAAAAAAATTAAGGATTGTTTATGTTGGATTAATGTCTAAGTCCATAACTATATTTGGTATGTACTTGACCCGACCCGACATAGTCCAT